GTCCTGTCAGCGTCTTCGCTTCCTGGCGCGACGCCTGGGCTGAGGCTTTCGGGTCTTCGGGGTCGGTTTAGGGTTTAGGGGTTTTGGGGTTTAGGGTTTAGGGTTTAGGGTTTAGGGGTTTGGGGCTTAGTGTAGTAGGGTTCAGGGCTTAATTGGAGTTCAGGGTTCAGGGCTGGGTGTAGTAGGGGCCCTTTAAAGATGTATATATATATATATATAAATATATATATATATATATTTTTTTTTTTGCTTGGGATTTAGGCTTTGTGGCTTAGGCATCGATCCCTTTCTGTGGGGTTTAGGGCTCTAGGGTTTAGGGGGGCCTTTGAGAGTTCAGGGGTTGGGGTTGAGCAGTGGGGGAAGAATTTTTTTGTGGGGGCTTTGGTTGGGTTCCTATGGTTAAAGATCAGATCAGGAGTTTTTGTATGGTTTCATTATGGAGGGAAGAAAGGGGTATCGTGTATCGTCACTAATGCAACAGACCTCTTCTATTTTGGTATGCGGATGCATTGCTCCTTCCGGTCCGTTTATCCCTGAGACGAAGATTGGATTAAAGCCAAGATGCTCAATTCCAAACAGCCACCCGCAAATAAACCAAGAACCGAAAACAACCGACAACAGCATCTCACCCAGCGTGTATGAAAGTAACATGCAGGGGGCCAGGTTCAAGATGTGAGTGCGACAGGCGGCAGCCCACGAAATCGGGCATGCTGCATCGAAACACATGTCGACCAGCTGTAGTTCCGTTAATCGCAACATCTGCATCGCAAAGGCTTTGGGATGCTCTTTGAAAGCGGGAGGAGAAGCAGCAATAACATCGAAGTCCTAACACACTTCGACTGGATCTTGGGCATTCTTGGCCCAGATTTTCGAAGCGACTATGATTCGTCAGGTTGAGCAGCTTACCAAAGTCGTGTCCGTTGTCGGGCTCCCGATAGAGGATGAACCGGAACCCCATGTACATACAACACCCTGAACTCTTCCAAACCTGGAACGAGGGTTTAGGGTTAACCAAGTTTAGGATTTAGGACCCCGCGCCCTAAATCCTCAACCAGAACCCAGCCATAACCCTTGAAGCCCCCACACTGCAAAGCAGAGCCCCTATCCGGGGCAGTCAATTGCACCAGTGCTCCCCAACTCCTGTAACAAGCTGCCCCAGGCTCCAAAAACTCATGTCCCCCAAGACTGGGTAGACTCCTAAACCGCAAAGGGTTCCAAACCCTACTAACCCTGCATCCGTGTAGAATCCGTGTTGTAGAACGCTGAAATTCTGACAGGAACCCTGAAACTCACAGAATTTCAAAGCGCACCTCGAGGCAGCACCTCGAGGAAGCTGTAGCGGGGGAACCACCTCGGGGCGTGACCTGGTCGCAGGAAGGACTTCGAGATATGGGGCTTCAGGGCTCTACCTATAGTCTCCATTGTAGTTTCATTTTCATGGTTTAACCGATTATATGTTAAGGATTTTATAAGGTATCCCCAAAAAGGAACTACAATGGAGACTATAGGTAGGGAGGCTGAGGGTTTTGGGTGTTCACGGGTTTTGGGGCACTTCAGCATTCTAGGATCCGGCGCCAAGGGGAAAGAGGTCTGGGCTTCAGCTTGTAGGGTGCTGAGCTGAAGGATCTATAGGGTCTCAGAGTTTAGAGATCAAGGATTTGGGATTTTGAAGTTTCAAGCTTACGCGCTGATTGTCCCGGATTTGGTTTGCAGGACTGTATGAGGTACGAGCTTACGGTTCTTAACGGCTTGGAGCCCTGGGTAGGCCATGTGCAAAAAATATCTTCACGATCATGTGCAGGAAACGTGACGTCACCCTAACCACAATAGTACAGGCAACGCCCATATACGAATCGTGCTCGTAACAGCCGCAGTACCAACAACCGGAGCAGGAAGAATGCCCACTCAAACTCATAGCAGCGGGGAGCATGCGAATAATCTGAATCACAAGGAGTAACACCAGTAAGAACAAACAGCTTCAAACCAACTCGATTGCTTCTAATTCTCATGCTGCAGCAACTACAACAACGACACCAGCAACAACACGAACCACGACGACGACGACGACGACGACGACGACGACGACAGCAACAACAAGGACATCAGCAGCATCAGCAGCTGCCAAAAGACTTTGCTACATAACTCGGCTTCCCATCTTCCTACCACAACTGGAGGAGCAACGAGCACCAAAGTGTTCGCCCCCTTGTTTTCACAGCTCCGTTTGGGTGGCAGGTGCAAGTCTCTGGGTTCTCCGCCTCGACAACTAGAGAGCTTGTCCGGAATTTTTCAGGAACAGGCATGCAGGACTTGGGCTTAGAGGACCTGAGTCTTGCTGTCCCAAGTTAGCTGGAAGAAGAACATGAGAAGCACAAGAAGGACCCCGAGACCAGCGTAGAGCGGCCACATTGGCTCATCATCCTTGCCGTCTTCTGTGGTAGCCGTAGCAGCCGGAGCAGCCGAAGTCTCAGCTGCAGGCTTCTCTGAAGCACTCGGAGTTGCAGGTGCGGCACTTCGGGCAGGCCGCCGGCGTAGCTCTTCTTTCTCATCCTTCTGTGGGACAATGTCATCCTCTTCCTCGTTGAAGCGTGCCTTTCCTCGTTCCACCTTGTCCGGCTCCCGGCAGATCTCAATCCAGCAGAAAGCATCTTCGCCCACGATTGCAGGCACGTTGCCGTTGAGCTGCTGTTCGGGAATCTCGCCACACCAGGCCAATCTGCTTCGATGGTTTTTTGGCACCGCCTCCAAGGCAAACTCGGGCATCAGCCGGGTCTTGGCTATTTGCCAGGCATATCTAAACCTGAGCTCGCCAGGAGTTCGACTGAGAACATGTAAGCAAAAACAAGCAAGCTTAGCTCGTTCGAAAGTTGTACGGAACAGGCAGCAGCAACAAAAGTATGAACAGAAAAAGACCAGGAAACAGGTACTCGAAGGCCAATCCCTTTTCCGTTCTCTCCCAGCGGCCCTCGAAGATAACCCAATAAGGGGATGCACCGGATCCTGGGAGCGTCTGCTTCATGTAGAAGTGGCCACAATCCTAGGACTCGTTCAGACTTGTTTACTGGGGCAACCGTAGAGATCTTCGGAAAGCCCTGAGAAAGTCGGCTTCAGGAGGCAATCTCGGGGCCCGAATAATCAGAATAGGGTTTGATAGTATAAATATCATAAGGAACCCCAAGGAATACTATATTTATAGCTATTGAGGCTTCTGTATCATGTGGTCGCGAGTCGGCTGAGTGGGGCTACTGCTCTACAAGATTCCTTTTAGTAGGGGGGGGTGAGTGTTGTGCACCCTTCCATTCTTGTCAAGAGAATGTCGCTTTAAGGTTCAGGGTTTTGCGGGTTGCACAGAACTGAGCCCAGCATCGTAGAGTTTGATGGTGAACTCGACAGACCGAGTGCTGACTTCACACTCGCCGAAAAACTTTGCACAAAGGTTTCCCTTGACCAAAGCCTTGGTCTTCTTGGGTTGGAAGGTTGGTGTCACAGCTCTCTCTGGCAAGCGGAATTTGATGACTTTCTCCTCAAAGCGAGTCTTTGTCTTAATCGCGACGAACTTCGGTATGTCGGAGTCCTCGTTGATCTGGACCTTCTCGATATGATCCGTGCCGATGACACCGTATGCTGTCTCCTGCAACTCCTCAAAGGTCATGGGGCACTCGAAGGCCTTGCTAGCGACTTCGGCAATCTCCTCCACATGGGTCGGGACCCAGCTGACCTTCTTGATATCAATTTCGAAGTCCATGGCTACACGCCTACTTTCCAACTATAGATACCTGATGCGTGCATACATCTGCGAAACTCGAAACTGTGCATCCGTAGCAGCTATGCAGAAGTGTACCGCTAGGCATCGTCAGCAACATCGCTCTTCAAACTTGTACCCCACGAGTTCCTGCAGGGGCCTTTAGAAGCCTCTGGTGGGCCTTTGAGCCAGAGCGGCCATTCAAAGTGTGGCAATGCCGGGCAGAGATGGGTCGAATGGATAATGATTTCCCGCCTGTATATCGTCCCAAACTTGCTATACTTGAACTAGTACAAAACCCCTCCCAAGCCCTACTGGGCCCTCTTCACATGAGTGACCTGCTGTTTTCGGGCTCCTAGGCCGAACTCTGAATCCGAAACCCCTAGACCCGAAATAAATCTAGCCCTGATCATCCTAAACATTGCATTCGGAACCCTGCTTCATCAAAGCTCTCACGTCGTCGAAGCTTTCTGTCTAGGCTACGATTAAGGAGGCCTTGATAGCGCCCCAGAAATTCTTTTTCGCCTCCCACCTAGCTAGGACGAGCCCGCACTGTAGGGTTGAGTTCAGAGAGCAAAAGCAGTGAACGCTGAAATTCATGGAAAAGGGCTTAGGGTCATTCTACTTGGCGCATGTCTCGATGTGTTTATAGTTCTCGGCACCGAGGTTTATTGACTTACACTCGGACACAGGTCTGGCCTAGGCTTCAGGTTTAGGGTTGGGGTTGAAGGCTTATGGGTAGGCTTTCTCTGCAATGCTTCAACGAAAGCATCAAGCCCCTGCCCGAACAGACAGAAAGCAATTACAGGAACTCGACAAATACATGCACACATGCACACGTCGACATGTTGTGTTCTCTCACTTACGGTTCCCTCTGGCACCACCACGGAGACAGGGGCCTTGATTTCTCTCTCAGAGCCTGTCCAACTCGGAGAACCTACTCCCTCAGACAGTAGGCCCCTATGAAACCTTGTTCCAAAACCTTGAAAAGCGCTGGAGAACCACCAAGTCCCATTTAGACCGTACGAAAGCCCTACCTAGAAAGCACTAGGTAGGGCTTCAAAGCCAGCATAACCATCTGTGGAAAGCCGGATCAACAGCCAATAAAGCACCGTACAACACCACAAAGCCTTATAAAATCCTACAGCAGCCCTCTGTGGCTACATAGAAATTCTGAGAGGGGAGGCCTCGAGGTGACGCCGGGCAACGCCAAGTTGCGTGGACTGCGCGGGGACCTTCGGACGAGGGGCTTCCTAGGCTTGGGTTTGTTGCTTTAAGCATCTTTTCCCTCGCCTGGAAGTTTAGGGTTTAGGGTTTAGGGTTTAGAAGTTCTGGCCTCCGGAACTGGCTTTTTGGGTTTTTAGGGTTTGGGGTCGAAGGTTTCGGGTTTAGGGAAGGTAAAAATCATAGTTGGGGCTAAAGGGTTTTAGAAGGTTTACAAGGCCTTCAACGGGTTACTGTACAGGCTAAGCTGGTGTAGCAGGTGTTAATAAGTCTTTTCATGGTTTTAAATGCCTTCACGCTCTAGCAACTCGGACTGGCCAGGCGAGGTCTTTCAGGTGCAAGTCAGCGTGAAACCAGGTGAAGCCTCCCACTACCTGTACTATGCAAAGAAAGGTGCAGGCAAGATCGTAATCGGTTTTTGGGGTCTGTTTTGGGCTTTAGTACGGCTTGGGCAGTAACCGGAAAAATCGGCTTAGGGCTTCGACTTTCACACTCGCACAGCATAAGGCTTCCACATGGCAGCCCACAATAACAAACGGGCTTAATGTCCGGGGTCGGGAAGGGTCGTCCCAAACATGGTCGAACTACCCCAGAGCTTGCACATGGGACTGCGGAAGTGGAAGTATGCATTCCGAAGCACAAGGCTCAGAACCAGAGCAGCTGGTGTGACTAAGCACCAAGCGCCGGAATGCCCACCGTTCGATATCCACGATCCCTCGGCAGGTCCAACTCGTATGTAGGGGCCTTGTTATTCAAGATGGGGGCTTGGTGTGGATTCCGGAATAATCCTAGAGGGCACTGTTCCTCCTGCACATTTCTGAAGCTTTTTCGAACAAGACAACTACCAAATTGATGCATGGAAGCCGATCCTTCTTGGTCTAAGTTGTCGAGTCTGGGGAACAGAAGTACTCCAGGTAGTTCAGGAGTTGGGGGTTTCCGAAAATAGGGGACCCTAATATAGTACCCCAAATAGTAGGTAGGATTCATTTCTTTAAGGAGCCCAAAATAAGGTACCCCTTATTTTCGGAAACTCTCAGTTAGGGGTAATGGCGTGAGGGCCTAGGGTCGGTGTGCACCCCCAACTTTTGTGGGTGTCTTGCACACGATACTGCTCCCACCGTCCTACTCAAACCGCCGACTTCCGGTTTCTAGCAGGTTTCGCGAGTTGATTGAAGCGGTCAAAATTATTGCATGCTGCTTCTATAGCCACAGCACGTTCTTGTTGCTGCTCTCACGAACCCGTTCTTCCAACGTGACATCATCTTGTCTGGAACTTGGTTCAACCTTGCGATTACTCTTCCTTGTTGCTTTGCAGCGTGCATTTGTGTGGTTTCGGAGGCGTCTAGCCGGATGAAGATGCCAACAAGAAGAACAAAACGAAAGGCGCCTCAACAATTGGAATAGGGTTTCCCGGGAACTACAGTACATGTATAAATGGACTCGTAGAGAAATATCACGGTTACTTGCTCACTTGCTCAGAGCTCTGCCTTGGGGCTTTCTGCAGCATCATCTCCGGCGAGCGAACGTCGGGCGCTAGGGCCGCTAGGGGTGTTAGTGCTACCTTGAACTACCATAACCTACTTTTTTGTAGGTCCTTATTATAATCATAACCCCTAATATAGAATTTATAGGGGCCCTACAAAAAAGTAGGTTTTGGTAGTTTAAGGTAGGGATTTGCGGACTCTTCCAAGCAAGCGGCCACTCGTCGCGGATTCTTGGCGAGACGCTTGCTTTCTGATTCAGGATATCACTCCTGCGAGGCATACCACGTTAGGGTGTAGGGTTCAGGGTGTAGGGTTTTAGTTGAGGCTTTGATATCGCTTGTGAACCCACGCAGGGATGGCACAAGCACACAGCACTGCCAGATCGCGTCGACTTCGACATGCCAAAGCCAAGACTGTCAGGACAAGCCCAGAAAGACGGTTTAGGGTTTAGGGTTTAGGGCTCGCTTTCAGACCTGTGGAAGAAGCCCGGGCCTTCTGGAACCCCAAACCATCAGGGTTTAGGGTTTAGGGTTTAGGGATCCTTTTTAGGGGTTTAGGGTTTAGGGTTTCGACTCACACACTCGCAAAAGCTGGCATGGCGATAAGTGTCCGACATTGCTACGTGGACATGCTGAGCAACGTGACAGAGGAACCAATTCGCAGTCGTCAAAAGCATG